GAATTGCGCTCTATCTGCAAGACAATATTAAGAGCTAAAACTTTCAGAGAATTGTTTTTTATCAATTTGGAACCATTTGAGCCCTTGGGAACAAGGAAATTCGAAAATGTCCATATTAAGGACCACCCTAATATACATAAACATATACATATACATAATATCCTTCATGATGCTAGTGATAATACCGATCTTTATGAAATTTTATAAACACGTTCAGTTTGACTGCAACAGAACATCTATTTTTATACCCCTATGTGTGGCCGCACATGCAACCCTGAATTTTTTCTCTTATTTTGTAAGGCATTTTAGTAATCAAAATTTTGTTTATCCGGCGTGCATTGAATAGAACTTCATCAAAGTTGTGAAAAAGCTTAAAATCTTCAAAAAGCTATTTATTTGAATAGCGCAGAAATAATACATCAAAACCTTAAATCTGTGGTTTCAGATTAGGCAGACATCATTCATGTGACATGCGTTGCAGTGGGTAAAGCGTCCATATAATTTTCATCAGTTACCACTTTTACTTGAATAGCATATATTTCCACATTTGCTATCTGTTAGCTGTTTTTATACTAATAATTTTTTAGAAATATTTTTTATTAATTAAAAATGTGTGTAATTTGATAAAAATTTGAATGTCTCATTCAAAAATAACTAATATATCACCGCGTTCTTTTTTTTACTGAAGTCATCTGTTTCCAATTTAGCAAAGAATTCTTCCGATACGACAACATGATTCACGTTTCCTTTGTACGTTGCCAAAACATAGTTTTTAGATTTCTCTCATCGAACAGATATAGAACTGTTTTTGACAAACATGGGTCCGAGTTATCGCAGTATTATTGTAGCATCTCCTGTTATGCGCGTTGATAGAGACTTCTATTCGTGTTTTGCTGTCAACTCTGCATATCACTTGTATGCAAGTTTGTTTGCACATGATGTAAATGAACGTTTGCTACTTAACACGCGCTATCTGAACTAATGTCAAACATTGGCGAAACATTGTGTGACATTTCCCAAAATTTTGCTATGGTAATTGGAAATTCTATTTACTTTCAAACTACCATTTTTGCACATTATTTACTCAAAGATGTGTACTATTTACTTGGTACTAACCAAGTAAAAAAAATATTTACCTAGAGTTTTAGTTTTTGAGGCCATGCCACCATATCATTTTTTTTAAATTCATTTATCAATTTAAAGAAAAGTATATATTTAATAAAAAATATTATTTGTTCTAAATTATTAATATTTTAATTCTAATGCCCATGTACATTTGAAAATACCACTTCATAATATAACAAAAGATTTCATAGTGAACATGGATACATTCTAATATTATTAGGATATTGCATATTAGTAATGTTCGATTTAAATTTAACTTTCCAAAGAAAATTTTTATGGTTTCACCAAAAAATCCGGCTTGATAATTATTTTTCTCGATAATTGCAGTCATTCCTAATTTTTCGAGTCCAAATTGGGAAAAAGTCTGTATAAAAATAAGTATGTTTGTATGTGAGCCGCTTTTTACATTTTCAAAAATTTAAAATCCCTTTGATTTTGAGTTTCACCAGAAAATCCAATCCGGCTTAAAATTTTTTTTCTCAATAATTGCAGTCATTCTTAATTTTTCGAGTCCAAATTGGGAAAAAGTCTGTATAAAAATCAGTACGTTTGTATGTGAGCCGCTTTTTAAATTTTCAAAAATTTTAAATCCCTTTGATGTAATTCAATAAAAATAATTGCACAACTATCAGATAAGCCGTTTCCTTATAATTAGTAGAAAAGTATAAATTTTTCTGTCCACATTTTAGCCAAAAATCTTGATCAGATTTCGAAAATTCAAAATGTGTTTGAATAATATGATGGAAATGGTATTTTTTCTTTATAATAAATATTTGATTTTATTTTTCGACAATTTTGGTGTATCTTTTTATAATGACCATTATACACTTTAATGACCTTAAAGAACATAGTAAAATATTATGAGCCTACAATTAGTGAAATCATTTTATTAGATATAGAAATAATAACAAGCTCTTTTGTGTTGTAAGCCAAAATTTAAACTATTATTATCAATGTTTTCTCTAAACCACTGGAGGGACAAATGCTTATTAGCCTTGGGAGATGATAGGTCACACCGATTATATAGCAGAAAAGTGCAAAATCTTTTATTCACGTTTTTCCAAAAAAATCTAAATCGATTTTCAATATTAAAAAATTTAGAAATATCGGGTTGTTTCAAACGATTTCAATTAAAATTTGCTTCAAATAGTTTTTTTTTATAAATTTCATTCCCAGATCACAATGTTGAAGTAACAATTTCAAAGCTTAACTGAACAGTTTTTTTAAGCCATCTAATTAAATTTGACGCTAATGTAGGCTAGCACTGATTTATTTCACATTTAAAAGGATTATGTACTAATATTGCTTTGAGTAGTTTAGTGACAGCAAAAATAAGATGTATTCGCAGACTTTGGAATTACAAAAAGTAGATATGAAAACTGCAAAAATAGGTTAAAGATTTTAGCAGAAAGTATAATTATTATTTGGAATATACATTATCGTTGTATAATTTACATACGCACTAACAGTGGTTATTATTATAATCAAGAGCAACACCTCCCATGTAACGTTCTACCATAAAATTATAATAGCCTTTAGCTTGTATCCTATAGGTATTGTAATCAAAATATTAATCATGTCTATTAATTATGTTATGTTTTGGCAATGGCGTGAATGGTAGTTTGCATCGTGAATTGTATTCGTCATAAAACATATGAACCTGCAACAGGATTTGAAACTAGTCATATTTATTCCCCGTTTTGACGAGTGTGCGTGCGGGTAGCGCTAATTGGACGTATGATTTAATTAGAGCTGCACATACGCGGCTCGGGCGGCGAACGTTT